GGGGTCGCTTAAGACCATCGGAAAACACATATACTCTACAGTTATGAAGTAGCAAAGAAAATAATGTTGTGGTTGTGGGACGCCACAACAGGAGGAACGGTATTAAAGGGTCGCGGCGTTAGAACGGTTGAGAACCGCTGGCCGAGTTAGACGAAAACTAATTGATCAGCACATTCGGGGTGGAAAGTTCGAGGTCAGCCTTCCGGAGACGGGTAGCTTCACATTGCTGCTGCTTCCTAGGCGTAGTCATTGTGGTCGCTGAGGGGGAACTCGATGGTGGTAACATGAACTTGAAATAAAATTGCGCACTGTTCCCATGTGACGATTGTCTGATTGGTTTCACACGTCACAGTACACACACGTGTGCACAATACACGCCTTGACCCTCTGTCCCGAGATGAACCAAAACTGAGACCAAAGAGTGAACTTGTTTAGAAAACAACATTCATCATTCCTCCCCAGTCAGGGGCTTCTGTTTCATCCAAGTGCCTGACATTAGTTCTAAAAATAACACGGAGTACAACTTGAGTTTTGAGCAGCGGTAATAAAAGCGTTACTTAGGCAACAGGAATCCTAGACAGGCCGTTCCTGGCCTAAAGCCCGGAGTTCGCCGACCTCTAGGCCAAATTATACTTTTATAAATATACATATTTTAATAGATAATTTTTGAAAATAAATATCAAATGTTAGTAACTCAATCTAACGTGTGTTTAGCAAGGTTTGTCTTAGAGAGATTTTAGAAAGGTCTTAGGAAGTCTTAGAAAGGCCTTAGAAAGGTCTTGGAAAGGTCTTAGGAAGTCTTAGAAAGGCCTTAGAAAGGTCTTAGAAAGGTCTGAGGAAGTCTTAGAAAGGCCTTAGAAAGGTCTTAGAAAGGTCTGAGGAAGTCTTAGAAAGGCCTTAGAAAGGTCTTAGAAAGGTCTGAGGAAGTCTTAGAAAGGCCTTAGAAAGGTCTTAGAAAGGTCTGAGGAAGTCTTAGAAAGGCCTTAGAAATGTCTTAGAAAGATCTTAGGAAGTCTTAGAAAGGCATTAGAAAGGTCTTAGAAAGGTCTGAGGAAGTCTTAGAAAGGCCTTAAGAAAGGTCTTAGAAAGGTCTGAGGAAGTTTTAGAAAGGCCTTAGAAAGGTCTTAGAAAGGTCTGAGGAAGTCTTAGAAAGGCCTTAGAAAGGTCTTAGAAAGGTCTGAGGAAGTATTAGAAAGGCCTTAGAAAGGTCTTAGAAAGGTCTGAGGAAGTCTTAGAAAGGCCTTAGAAAGGTTTTAGAAAAGTCTTAGAAAGGTCTTAGAAAGGTCTTAGAAAGGTCTTAGAAAGGTCTTAGAAAGGCTAAATTATTAATCTGATACTAATAACTGTGTCACAAAATGATAAGGTGAGCCTTTGGTGTTTTTTTTTTAAATTTAAGACCAGGATATTTAAAAGGGAAATGTGAAATGATGTTGGCGCCATTCGTGTCCAAATATAAACACTTATTTGTGGCTCAAAGAGAACTCTTCTGTCTGTGAAGTTTTCTTTTTAAAAAAAGAAATCTTGATCCTAATTTGGATGGAAGCAGCCGCTTCCTTCAACCACCCACCCCCACCGCACCTGTGTAGACGTCCCTGGATGGACTTCCTTGATCATTGAATCAATTTGTTCCGTTCATTCATAATGTATTCCAAGTCGGGTTCATGAAAGAAATAGTCAACTCTTTAATTTGTTCGGTGTGGGTTGTTGTTTTCTGTGTTCGCTCACTTTAGAGTTCAAACTTGGATACGCCACTAAAACTGTGCACATGAAGAAAACAAAAAAAAAAAAAAAAAAAAGGGGGGGGGGGGGGAGGATTCATCTATTGATGACAAGGAAGAAGGTGGAATCGATTTTTTGTTTTATTAATTTATTTATTTATTTTTTTACTTCAATTCTTAAACTCCGTTGTTACAACTCAAGAAAATACAGGAAAAATATTTACTCTAAAAAAAAAAAAATTTGCTCTGGTAAAAAAACAGTACGAAATGTTTTAGCCTAATGGTGTGTCTAGGACTTGAAATGTTTGAATCTAACCTGATTCACGCGCTATGAAACAGGACTTTGGAGTCTAGAATTATTTTACTTACATATAATACAGGTAATTGTTCTGTTTTTTTATTGTCCAAACACTTGTGCATGGCGGTGTTTGGTTTCTGAACTACTGACACACAGGATTCTATTTGTCCAAGACACTAGTCCCCCGTTCAGTTACCATTGGAGTAAATGGTCTTTTAATTTGTGTCTGATATTTAAACAAGGCCATAAATGCTTTTCACTACAATTCGAAACGGTAATATATATATATATATACGATCAGCAGAAGCGGGTCAAATATACTTATCTGGGTGGTATTTTTAAAAACGGCTAGGCCTTAATGGTAAAATTGGAAATGGAATAGACTGTAAGACACATTTTAAAAGTCCAGCTGACATTCTTCTTAGCGCCCAAAGATCTCTCTAGTAGTACCCAGTGACTTTCTCTTAGTGCCCACTTACTTTATGTTAGTGCCCACTGACTCTCTTCATAGTGCCTCTCTGACTATCTTCATAGTGCCTCCCTGTCTCTTTCCTTAGTGGGCCACTACCAGACTGACTTTTTCCTCACTGCTCCAACGACTGTGTTCTCCCTTCTCCACTGACCACCCCTGAACACCTAAGAATGTGGGGTCTAGTTTCGATCAGTTATGTTTCTGTGTCATGTAGGACACTTTTCAAGTGCCGTGAACTTTGCTTGACCCCAAATTAGATTCCTACATTCATAGATGGGCGGGGCTAGTTATTTTGATATGTCGTGTTTACTGCCGACTACCAATTAAACATGGTTAGTTTGTCTCCTAGTATCTTGTGGAACGTTCTCGATTTGACGAGAAACGTAAACAATGTCAAAGGCGTTTCTGGACTCTTCGGTAGACCCATAATATAAATAAAGGGTTTCAGAGATTCACGGAGATTCAGACTGATTGATAGATATTTTTAACTTCACGAGACGTGTATTATTCTTTGTGTACTCATATGTTTTATTCGCATTCGTCATTGTACATTATTAATTGGCACATTGTACTAACTGTGTACCGGTACAAGATCTACCATACTCTGTAAGTTGATGATTTGTAATTATATTTCTTTTGTTTTGTAATTATATTAATACTTAAATAAATCTTTTTAATTGTAATTAGCAACTGTTTTGCGTGTCGTATTTTTGCTATTGTATTTCTCTATGGTATCGTCCTTAGTTAGGCACTGTTTGAACGAGCCGTAAAATTAAAATAAGAGATTAATTTCTCACTATAGAAGGCAGTGCGTAACACACTGATGTTGGAAAGGGTAGGGGGGCTGGGGGAGTCAGTCCACCCCGATCGGCATTTTATCTATTTATTGGGGTGGCAGAGTTTTTCGTGAAAAGGGGGAGGGGGGTAGACATCTTGGACCACCCCGGGCGGCACTAACTCTAGCAACGCCACCAGCTCAATGCATCACAAGTTATAACTATTCTTCTAATTTTGAAACAAGTCGTAACAATGTGTACAATATCTCTAAATGTGTACACTATCTATAAATGTGTACACTATCTATAAATGAGTACAATATCTCTGAATGTGTACAATATTTCTAAATGTGTAGCCATTAAATTATATTCAAAAATCACATTAACAAATTTTTCCAGAGAACCTAAGTACTGCAAAAAAAAAAAATTGACATTTTGACTTGTTATTTATTCTCGTCAAGTTACAAGTTCATTCTAATACAACAAATTCATTTTAAAACGACAAATTCATTCTAGTACAACAAATTCATTCTAATACAATAAGTTTATAGTAATATAACAAGTTAATTCTAACACAAGAAGTTCATTCTAATACAACAAATTCATTCTAAAACAATAAATTGATTCTTATACAACAAGTTCATTCTAACACAAGAAGTTCATTCTAATAAAACACGTTCATTCTAACGCAAGAAGTTCATTCTAATAAAACACGTTCATTCTAATGCAAGAAGTTCATTCTAATAAAACACGTTCATTCTAATGCAAGAAGTTCATTCTAATAAAACACGTTCATTCTAACACAAGAAGTTCATTCTAATAAAACACGTTCATTCTAACACAAGAAGTTCATTCTAATAAAACACGTTCATTCTAACACAAGAAGTTCATTCTAATAAAACACGTTCATTCTAACACAAGAAGTTCATTCTAATAAAACACGTTCATTCTAACACAAGAAGTTCATTCTAATAAAACACGTTCATTCTAACACAAGAAGTTCATTCTAATAAAACACGTTCATTCTAACACAAGAAGTTCATTCTAATAAAACACGTTCATTCTAACACAAGAAGTTCATTCTAATAAAACACGTTCATTCTAACACAAGAAGTTCATTCTAATAAAACACGTTCATTCTAACACAAGAAGTTCATTCTAATAAAACACGTTCATTCTAACACAAGAAGCTCATTCTAATACAAGTAAACGAGAGCATAAATCAATACCGTAATAACAGACAGAATCCAGAAGAACAATTTATCAAGTTCATCGTGCGTCAGACATCGGTGTCCACGTCTGCTGGCAGATACTTCGGTCTTCTTTTTAATGCCCTCGCATTGATTTGGTCTCAAGATCGCCTCGTTGTCAATTTGCGCATGTGCAAGATCATTTTTGCAAACATTTTTGTTCCTCTGAAGATCTTCATTGCCCTTACCGTTACAAGATCCTTGCTGTTGTTGATCTTTCGTGTTGGTATCCTTTGCTCTGGGGCCTTTTGAAATATCGTTTATGTTGAACGAGCCGTTGTTTAAACTGTTGACCTTACTTTCAACGCTGTTAGATTTTTGGAAAGACTTTTCGTCTTTTCCGCCATCAATATTTGCAGGGTTTTCCCGTTGATCTCCGTTACTGATGCTTCTCTTGGTTATCTTGTTTCGTGGAGGATGATCTTTCTTGGGGGCATTCTCCCCGAGACGAGATTTCCTCCGCTTTAGAAGCAGCACCTTGTATCTGTGTAAGACAAAGACGGTGGCCATGGTGGCGACGATGACCTGTGCCACTATGGCCAGGAGGAGGATGTTGATACGGGGTAAAGTCTTGTCCATGTTCTTGGGAATGCGCTCGACGATGTAGCTCAAGAACACGGAGGTTGACGTGTACATCGACAGGACGAATCCGATCTTCTCGCCGCCGTCTGCCGGGATCAGGAATACCATGAGTGTCATCACGGATGTCATCGCCATGGGAGCGAGCAGGTTGACCACGAAGAAGAGACTCCGTCTGCGCATGGCAAGGGAGCAAATCACGTATTCGAAGTTCGGCGAGAAGTGCGATATCGTTGAGAAGCATCCGTGACGCTCCATGAACCACTCGCCGTCGGTGCCGAAGTGCAAGGTCACGTCCGTGGGTGGGAGGTTGTAGAACGTCATGTTGTATTGGCTCTCCTCTATGAATACGATGGAGCAGTTGTGGGCGTCGAAGGGAAAGTAGGTCATGTCCAGATTACACAGCGTGCTGACCATGGTCGGTATGAAGGCGGTGATGTAGCCGCGGTAGGTGATGTCGACCACTTCCGGGAAAGGTATGTTCAGGTCCGTGGTCACGGTGGACTTGGGGACGATGATGGACGGTCTCCAGAAGTTGTCGGACGCCAGCTGGATGTCCTTGATGCCGGAGTGGGCGCTGGGCTTCCACGTCACTTCCGGGTCATGCCAGGTCAAGGTCACAATTGACGAGAGCGTGACGGCCTGGGACATGCCTTCGACGTTGATGATTTGCAGCGGCTCGAAGGATATGGCGATGGAGCTGCTGTGCGAGGAGTAATATTTCGGGGGCACCTTCTGTCTCAGGGCCAGGCGAGCCTTCATCAACCTGCGAAGGACCTGGAAGGACTCCATGACCGTCAAGTTTGTGCCATCTTTGGTGCCATCATTAGTGCCATCCTTGGTGCCATCATTAGTGCCATCCTCGGTGCCATCATTAGTGCCCGTGGTTGGGTTAGTGACGTAATGTGTCGTCTGGTCAATGACGCCATCAGCTACCTGTGTAACGACGAAACCTGAATTCAGCAGGAAAGTAAGAAAAAGTACGACATTCAGCGCCATTGCCGGAGAATCTGTGCACTCAAGCTGTGCACTCAAGGTCGTGCACTCAAGTTGTACCCAATCAACAGATCTGAAATAGTTGATGTATTAGGTATACATTTGTCCAAGGTGTTGCGGTGATTTCATCTCGAACAGTTGATAAACGTTGAAATAAATCCTCCAACGTGCCAATTATTTTCCTTATGGTACGCTTGCAGCTGTTTTGCAATGTTCACAACATATAATAAGATCGTCCTTAGATTTTTACAGGAAATCTGCGCCCATCAATTACTCGGCGAGATTATTCTCCGAAAGTCCCGACAACTCATCATGAAATATTCAAGATTTAACTGCCCTTGTGCTCGCTGACAGAATCTCGCCACAAAAAACGCGACTGACGTTCATCCGACCTTCGCGAGGACAGATCGAATCCACCCAATGACGTAGTCGATATTCAATACAAAATTATATGCTTGTGCACTCGTATATCAAATGATTGCGTATCAAACTCACGAGATTGGACAGCGGGTATTTGTAGATTCAAATAAAAATGTTGGAGGAGACGTAATGAAGCAAATCGATCAAGAAATATCAATCTATCGGCAACATATCGACATGTGTATGATGTTTGTATTTACCAGAAGGTTCAATGAAGCCCTTGTTATATGTTATAACGACATCCAGTGCTTAAACGTGTAAGAGCGCGACATAATGATATAAAGGAGGGGGAAGGATAATGTCCCTACAATTGTAGTCATGGTTTGCGTTAAAAATGGATTACATTGAAGGGAAACAAATTAGTTTGTAAAAAAAGCAACTCGTTAATAAATTGGTTCCAGTTATTGGGTCCATTACGATATATAGTAGGGCAATAGTAGAGCACTAGTAGGGCACTAGTAGGGCTCTAGTAGGGCACTAGTAGGGCACTAGTAGGGCTCTAGTAGGGCTCTAGTAGGGCACTAGTAGGGCACTAGTAGGGCTCTAGTAGGGCACTAGTGGGGCACTAGTAGGGCTCTAGTAGGGCACTAGTAGGGCTCTAGTAGGGCTCTAGTAGGGCACTAGTAGGGCTCTAGTAGGGCACTAGTAGGGCTCTAGTAGGGCATTAGTAGGGCTCTATACACAGAACGTATTATAAAACTGATTTTAAAAAGCGTTTTTTTCCCACCCATTTAAAGGGTAAGACCAATAATGACGTTTGTGAATCCAACCAAAAAAGACGAACCTGAATACAGAAAAGAAACTAGAGATTGAAACCGAACGCACCGAGCTTGAACCCTGCTGATGACCGAACCCGAACTTCTAAAAAGAGGGTTCGATCCCCAAACTCTACAAGAAGCCCACGACTTTATGTGGTTACCCGTCATTTTGATAAGAATGTACAATGGGTCAGACCGACCTGTTGGACCAAACAATTGGTCAGACCGACCTGTTGGACCAAACAATTGGTCAGACCAACCTGTTGGACCAAAGTAAATCATGCAAAACTTACCAAGAGCTCATAGCTGCTGAATTATTAGACAGGATTTGTTGGTACTTATTATCGACTAATTGATTGATTCACCGAATAAAAGAAATGGACATGTGCACCTTATAGCATGAACTCTTTCCAAGGACGACACACAAAAAAGAGTTATTTCTCATGGTAATCATCGCGTTAAAACAAGTGAGTGAGTCGCAATTAATTAGAGGCTTGAAGACTTATACTCTCGGGAAATCTGGAGGGAAACACAACTAAAAGACCAAAGCAGAAGAGGAAGTTGAAATTGAATTTACCAAATTCCTCAGAGTGTGCGCATGGGTCAGTTTATATAGAGGTACATTGTATTTTGTGAGATCGAGTTGGAAAGAGCTGTGTTTCCCAACGTGGGGCCCACGCCCCCGCCAGAGGCGTAGCGAAGGGGTACAAGGGGGCAGATGTCCCCGGGCCCCAGCTAGTTAGGGGAGCTAAAAATGGGCTTTGTACTATTTTGTTGATGAAAATAATGGGTTTGAGATTTGAAAAGAGAAAAGGGTGGGGTGGGGGGTGGGGGCGCTTTAAAATGAATCTTGTGCCTGGGTGCGAATTTTGTCCACGGGTGCCAAACACTCTCGCTATGGCTCTGGCCCCTGCAAGGGCGGGGGGCCATTTGAAGATTACTTCGGGGGGGGGGGAGGCATTTAGTCTGAGGGGGTTAAAGTTAATCCCTGTTAAATTTGGTCATATTGTGGGTGAATGTTTCAATTATTGTAAGTT